TTTTTCCAATGAAAACAGTGTATCTCAGATATTCCTTCTATCACAGCATTAGCTGGTGGTGCAAACTGAGACTGTATTTGCGAAACACCACAAACAAACTTGCATATTTAACAGGATTGCAATATTATTTCTACATTTTTTCTTTGCGGTTTCATCAGTGAACTGTAGGTCACCTAGTATACAGGTTATACTTGCAGATAAGTTGTGTAGGATGACCAAATATATAATTCCAAGATCTGTAGTAATCATTATCTCCTAGTAGCCATATCTTATCAACCCACCAATGACCACCATCACAGTCCAACTAATCTTGCAGTAAATCCGGCACAAAAGCATTACTATCTGGAAGTAGCCATGAAGTGTAGAGACAGGAGGAGGACTGGTTGTGTGAAGGGACACTCCACCCTCCCGATTAGAATAGGAAGTCTGCTAACTACACATAAAGCTGTCACCGACTTGGACAGCCTTGGCCTGAGCACACAACATCATCATGCCACTACGAGAGCCAGTCACTAGTCGACTGTTATCTTAGAGGGTCTCTTGATGGGATTGAGATGAGGAGAATCTGATCTCTTGCTTGCCTTTGATTAAGGTATATATCTTATATATTTTACTGTGAATACATTTAAAGTGTTGGATATATGTGTGTGTGTGTTTGTGTAGCTCTGCGTCTTTCTTTTATTTTAGTTTGTCCTGGTTGATTATTGATTATTAAAGGATTTTTCATTATGTCGAGGTTGTCATCCATTGTTAAAGGTTATCTTGAGTGTTTCTCTAAATTTTTATATTTATTATTTTCAGATTGTTTTCACTGTCAAAGGGTTTTCTTTCTATTACTTTATTATTTCATTATATGTTGTATTTTAATTTTATGATTTGCCTTAAATAATTTATTGTTTATTTTAATTATTTAGTATGTTTCATTGTTAGATATACATTACTGTTTCAGTTTAAGTTTAATGAAAGTGTTAAATTTAGTTATTTTTAGAAGTGATAGTTTATTGCAGGTTTGTTTACGTAACTGTTTGTGAATTATACCTTGTGTAGATCAATAGTTATAAACTGATTATTATTATATTATTTTTATTAGAACCTTCTGAGTTTTTCTCGTTCTTTTAATTGTTTATTATTGTAACATAATATCTAGTAGTGTGTACAACGTTCTAGACGTTGTACACACTACAATTTAATTCGATAGTTAGATCTAGTCTGCGTGATTGTGAATTTAGCCATAAAAAGTGTATAGTGGCGATTTTTAAAGTGAATTTGTCCCAGATTGTATTGTAATAACAGAGTATAGAATAATAATTCGTCTTATCAATTGTGTTCTAAAGTAATTGAACCAGCCTGAGTGGGCTTTGACGAAAAAGAGACAATTATTTAAAGCTCTGGATATAACTGTGATAACTAACAGTGTAACGAACAAATTGAGAAAGAAGAAATAGAGAGAGGGGAGAAACTGGAAATAAAGATAATAAGAGCTCAAACTGAGATTGCCAAGCTCACCCAACAGAAAGATAGGAGACCCATAACTGACAATGGGGTCAGGTCCAGCTGACCCAAGCTTCCTAAATTTGATGAACAGAAAAACGACATGGACGCTTTCTTGGATAGATATAAAAGATTTGCCCAAAGTCAGAACTGGGACAGAAGTGACTGGGTAGTCTGTGTCAGCCCCCTTCTTACAGGAAAAGGTTTACATATGTACGTGGACAGGATCTTAGAAGATGCCATGGACTATGACAAGTTAAAAGTGGCCCTGATGAAACACTATGAACATATCAAGGAAGGTCTTTGCCAGACGTTCAGAGAAGTCAAACGTAACACTGGAGTTTGTGGTACGTCTGTGGTGATACTTCACAAGTTGGACTGACATGGCCAAGTGTGAAGATAGTTGTAAAGGTCTGGCAGATCTACTAATATGTGAGCAGTTTATGATCACGTGTCACTTAGAGAGAGCATCAAAATACGTGGACGAGATGACCAAGCTCGTATAATGGTATATGGAATCCCATGGAGGGAGTATAATTGGTGCTCCCTCTCAGTGACATGAAACCCCATTTTGTCCTGTACAGTAAGTTATTGTATTTTAGTAATTTGAAAACTGGAAACAATCGCATTTTTATAGAATTATGTATAAAATAATCATTGTTTTTTATATTGTTGCTGCGTCAGCGAGGTCACGTGACTAGTGTCACGCCACGTTTCTAGAACTATCCTGTTCCTTCGGGAGTGCTCTAGCATTTGCTAGATTGGGGGGTGGTCTGGTATATATAAGACGGTCACAACGTGACGACAATGTGTGTGTAGGTAATGAGTAATTGAACTGCAGTCATAAAGTATTGTTGAAGTTAACGTTCGTTGATATAGCGTTTGTTATAGAGCGACTGTTGAAAATAAGTGTATCGTAAAACACTTCATTAAAAATGCTAGTTGTTGAAGACATTTTTTTAACCTCAGTCTTGTCATTTTGCCATATATCCCGTTGCTAGATTAATTTTTTGGCACGTGTACAATGTTCAGTTTTAAAAACTCACAATATTGTTACGTCTCCGTTCGTTAATTGATTTTTCGTAACTTCGTTCCGATGAAACTTTAGCGACACAAGTCCTTTCTTAATAAAACTTGTTTATTCAAACGAAATAAGATAATGCCAAAATTCATAAAACTGGATTGCAATATCAAAAACAAACACTAAAATGGAGTATCAACTTGCGAAGACTAAAGAGAAGATACTGAATATTGTAATTCGACAAAAAAGAAGTTTCATCTCCGAGAAAGAAAAAAAAAGATTGTATTTATTGCAGTTAGCTTTATCTAAGGAAGGGAATGAAGACTGGACGGAATGGGAAAGGAAGTCATGGATAAATATACAAAAAACATTGCTACATCTAAAACTACGTTGGACAAAAACTATTAATTCAGAAAAAAAGTGAATGATGAACATTATAAACTAGATTCATTGCCAGATAAGTACAATAGTTTTTTAAATAACCCTAGAGTCATACATAAATCTGATTTAATACTAAATGATAAACAGATTGATGTTTTAAACAGAGGTTTAAATTTCTCATTTGGTCCAAATAAAGGTTTTAAAAAAGATATCATAACTGAAATTGAGACTAACTTGAAAAAATTAAATGTTGAAAAATGTATATTATTAGAAGTGAGTGTTGCACTTTATTAAATAATTTTAACTTCAATAATAAAAAGGACTTTGAAATTTTGAAAAATTTAAAGGAACAAGATGTCATTTGCAAGGCTGATATTCTGAATAAAAATTATTACGATTCTAAAGTTGAAGAAAGGATGGTCCTTATCAGAACATTAAACTTAACCCTAAAAATAAATTTCATACAATAGATAAAGAAAAAATTAAGTTGTATGAATCTAACACCTTATGAAAAGCAAAGTTTAATTCCCAGTAACTTTATTTTATCTAGATTACATGCTTTGCCTAAAGTTAATAAGATTGGTAATAGTTTCAGACTTACTGTATCCAACATTAAGAGTACAACTTATAATGTTGCAAAATTTATATCTAAAAATTTCTCATTTTTAAGGGTTTGTTTGTTTTGAAGTTAAGCACAAAGCTACACAGTGGACTATCTGTACTCCGCCCACCACGGGTATCGTTGTAAATCCGCAGACATGCCACTGGGAGGCCATTTTTAAGGGATAAAAATAGATAGACAGTTAAGAATTCGTTTGAATTTGTCGAAAGAATTGAGCATATAATTTTAAATCAAAAATATATTTTGGTGCTATTTGATGTTGTGTCAATTTCACCAAAGTACCTGTGAAAAAAACCTATTGAATGTTTTGAGAAAAAAACTGAAAGAAAATAATAATTCAATCTTAGAAATAATGGATATAATTAACCTGGTACAAGTATGTGTTGAAAACTCATTTTTTCCAGATTAATAACGAAGTTTATAAACAGAACGAGGGTTTAGCAATGGATTCTCCTTTACTCCGTTATTGTGTGATTTATTTATGGACAGTTTTAAAGTGAAGCACTAGAAAAAGCAGATACAAAACTTGAAGTTTGGTTAACGTATCTAGATGACACATTTTTGATTTGGCGGTATAGTAAAGATGAAATAGCTAATTTTGCTAATTACCTTAATAACATTGATAGTCCCATAAGATTTAATTATGAAGTTGAAATAAATGGTTGTTTACCTTTTTGGATGTTTTATTGAGTGAGTAAAAATAAGGATAAATTGGAAACTACCATTTATCGTAAACCTTTCTCTGTAATTATTTCGCCACATCAACAATCTTGTCACACTACATCTCAAAAAACTTGTTTTTTTTACACTTATGTGGATAGAATATTAAAATTATGTTGTAAACAGGATGATATCAATAATGAGTTACTGTTAATTAAGCACATAGCAGTGGAAAGAGGTTTTAATCCAGATTTTGTTGACAGAGTTGTCATAAAACTAAAAAAACAGGGATAAAAATATTAAGTTAAAACCATTTACGAAAAAAGTAAGAATGTTTAGTACTATCATATATATATCTGGTTTATCTTGTCATTTAATGAAAAAATTTAAATAAAAACAAATAAATATTTTCCCGATATACAAATAAACAATGTCTGCGAAATTCTTAATACAACTAAGATAAAATTGATTTAATGGAAAAATTTGGCATATATAAAATATTATGTGAATTTAAAAAGTTTACATAGGACAAACTGGAAAAAAATTAAAATTCAGACTGAATGAACATAAAAGAAATGTTAAAATAATACTATCACTATTTCACCTTTAGCAGAACATGTTAGTTAAACTAATCACACAATTCAATGGGAAAAGTTATTATTTTAGCATAAGCTGGAAATTTAATTGATACGAATATACGTGAATCTACTGAGATAATTAAATGTAAAAGAAGTAAATTTAAATTACTGAATAAGGATAATGGACCTGATGGAAATATTGTCAGCAGATGGCGTGAAATTCTTTAATATGTAAGTTGATGTTTTGATAATTGTATAATGTCGAAACATGTAGTGTGTGAGATTGCTTTCCAGTTTCAAGGATTTTTTACTACATTTTATCCTGTACAGTAAGTTATTGTATTTTGATAACTTGGTTACTGGAAACAATCTTATTTTTCTAGAATGGTGTATAAGATAATCGTTGATTTTTAAAAATTGCGAGAATTTAAGATTGAACATTACACACTTGCCAAAACATTTTTTTTTAAAACTTTATTTGTTAAATAAGCACTAAGTCAATTTTATTCAATATCTGATTGTTATCTCAATACCAAATGCATTAATAACTGAACCTATAGATGAATAACATAGAAACTAGCACATACCTTGAAATAATTGCTAGTACCAAATAACGAAAATTTCTTTAAAATCTTTCTCATGGGCTTTTTTTTTCATACACTGCTTATAAAAGTAAATATTACATTACTTTCTCTGAAGCACTAGTAAAAATATTATAAAAAAAAATGATCTCAAAATAATTTCTGGGATTATGTTACAAAACTTTTTTTAAATATCTCTTTCATCGGTTTTTACCACGTGCTGCTTATAAAAGTTTAAGTGTTCCATTATTTTTGCAGTATAACACTAGAAGAAAAAAAAAGGTCTATAAAAATTTCTCAACTATCAATTCTTTTTTTGAGTCCTGCAGCCACTTAAGACCATCCGGACACTTTAGATGCTGATATTTCATTGGTGACTCGGGAAGCTTTACCTGGTCATACTCATCTCCCCTCCAAGCAGCCATCCCTAATTCAGTAATGAAAAACTAGAGGGAAGGCAGATAGTCAACACCACCAACTCTTGTACCAACATACAGTGGGATTGACCATCCCATTATATCACCTCCAGGTTTTAAAGAACAAGCATGTTCAGCAACGGGTAGTCAAACCCATGACCTGCACATTGTGAGTTGAGCTCCCTAACCACCAGGCCCAAACTATGAATACCACAAGCTTTATGGAATTAGATATTTATAAACACTGATGAGTTATTAACAAATTCACAGCCACACAAGAAAAAAAGACTTTTATAAACAATCATTTTAATTTTTTTACAATATAAGTACTTTGCAATTTCTTTATTTTGAATTCATCTCATCAACTAGTGTTTTTATCATGAATAATAGTTACCACTTTTTGCTGCTATGAATTGAAGTTTTTCCTGGTCAACTGTGATAAAACTTAAAAAGAGACAATCAACTGATTCAAATTACTATGTGAAATATTGGAATATAATTCAATCAATATAATACACACATGAAAATAAATGTAATTTTACAATTTTATTATTTGTCTGGCTAACTTTTCTTTTTGGAAACAAATAAATACAATCACAGTAGAACACTGAAATGGTAGGCTACAAGTTTGCAGGACTGAGAATACAAGAATGGTCACTTTTTGGAAAGAAAAGGCACCTCATTTGAAGTTTGGAAAACAATATTTTTCTCATATTATGATTGTATTTTAGTAACAATATCAATTTCATCAAGTTCAAATTCAAAAAAGGGTATTCACAGCCTATAAATTAAGTTAATATATATTTTAACATATTCACAACATATAATCCAATTTTTTAAATAATTATTTGCCTGGTACACAATTTCACATTTAAGACTTTAGATTATAGGAGGAGAAAAAATCTTTACTATAACTGTTTTCATAAAACTTTATGCTAGTTGATGTAGTACAGGAACATTACTGAAAGAACTAAAATGTAGTAATGTTAGTGAAAATAATCTCATTCAACTAAACAAATTAAAATAAAAACTTAGAATATGCAACAAAAGATATTATAAAGCATTTTTATTTTGGAAAGTTAAAATAAACTACATATAATATCCTGTGCAATGTGATGAACATGTCGCATATAACTTGGAAGATAATGTATTTTTTACTTTTAAAATATAAAATGTGATCAAAAATGAATTGCCGTGCTAAATTATTATACAAAAAGATAGAAAAAAAATTATCATTTTAAGTATTACAGAATAAGGATTGTATTAACATGTAAAAAAAAAAGATTTTACAGACTATAAAATGTGAGCAACTTAAATAATTTATTGAATCAAAATAAAAAAATACAAATTTAATAATTTCTCATAACTCTTACATAGTTAGGACCAAAGAAAAAGTACAAACAACATGAATACTAAAGATTTACAAGAAGATAGTATTCTCTTTAATATCATTCTTTACAAATTGATATCTTTGTTAAGAATGACAATACCATCAAAAACATGTGTCTAGATTTATAAAACTAATCTGTTATTTAAATCTAGTATTCCCAATTAATTTTTTCCTCAAGTCTTTGTAATAATAATTTTTTTCTTTAAAACACTCTAATCTACTTAAGCTAGCATTTATTTTTGTTTTTTTATACACCTAATTTGTACTGATTATTATGGTTTTCACGTGAGAAACCACACTGTTAATTTTGTTCCTTAATCTTTAGAAGTAATTGATCTTAATAAAAACTTCAACATTGCTGCTCTACAGTTTTTTCAATTTAATAATCTAAGCTGAAGGGAAAATATTTTTGTTTTACTATAAAAATGCCCATTATACAATAAGCAGTAAGTACATTTTTGGAGAAAAAAAAAATGTGTGTGTGTATGTGTGGATATTACAAATATTGTTGGCAAACAAACATTTAAAAAAAAGAGAGCACACCAAAAATTAATTCTTTATTAATGAAAACTAAAATACTTATAAACATTAGCACTTCATTAAAGTAGGATTGAAAAATAACTTAAAATATTGTATAGTAATACATGATACATAATATTAAAAGTCTAGCAGTTTTACTAGACTGTATGGCATTTTTTATTTGGCAATAAATTATTCATTACTTTAAGATAATTGAATTTTTTTACATTAACAATTTTTACAGAAACTTGTTTCCAGAAACTACTGTCCAATTGAGCACTTTATTAAACTTTCCTTTTTATTATATACAATTAGAAATAGCACATTGCAGGTAGTTACTATTATCACTGTATAAATATTTTATTATCTAACAAATCATAATTAAAATGATGACAGACTATGTTAGGAGAAGCAGTAGCTTATTTTGTAAGATCAAAGCAAATTTTTTCCAGAAACAAACTGCTTACAAATAGATTAGTAGTGTTGTAGTTTGCAAATATGATAAAAATGAAATGAACTGTTGAAAGAATTTCTAAAATAAGCTAAGTCTCTCTCTCTCTTTTTTTTTAATACTGCAGAAAACTTCCCAAAAAGTGTGTCAGTAATCTGGTTTTGTCTAAGTTCAAACGTTTACCTATCTCATATCAGTAAATGGCTCAAGTACAAAAGTTTAATGTATACAATATTTTAGAAATTCTAATAGGCCATTAAAATTTCTCATTACTATAAAAGTGGTTATCATTGTTCCTTCACTCCTATAATTATCATATGACTAATAACCATATCAAAGGTTTTCAAGTAGTTATGTGGAAACATGTAAACTCAATGGCCAACATTAATTATTTTTAATTTTTTTATACAAGAAAAAATTCATACTAAATTTCCAATTTGTTCATGTAAAATAATATGATTGGTTCTTATCATGTAATCATATTCTAGGCTGTACATTGTATGAATTGTTAATCTCAATTTCAGTGAAAAGTTAATTACACATCATGGTTATAATTATAATGATGCCAAATTCATGTACCAAATTCAAGGTGTGCAGATATCAACCATAAATTTGGTAGTTGCATAAAAGTGAAAAACATATATGTTAAGAACTACCTGTGAAGATGTTTGTATTGCTGGTAATCAAAACACAACCTTTGATAAGACTTACTTATTCAACAAGCATGAGTCCTGTCACATACAAAAAGCAGCATAATGAAAATATCATAGTCAAGTTTTTTCAAAATATAAAACATGCAAACTGTGTTGTAAACAAATGCTGTACTGCCTCTTTCAATGTCTTCAAATCCCTCATTACAGATTTAAAACATAATATTCATCTTTCAGGAATCCAATTAATTTGGCTGAGAAAATATGCTCATGTGCAAATAGAAGTATAGTCTCCATCACTATTATAAAAACATTAAGTTCCTTTTGTATTGTGCTGATTCAAAAAGCATCTAAACTTAATAAAAACATCTATAACATCAAATTATTGTTATTTTTATACTACTGAACAGCCATCAAGCTTTGACAAACACATAGTAACTATATATTATGCACAGATAATAAATGGACAATAGTTAATATTTTTATGAAGTTTTGTTTTATATTTCATAAAACACTGGGGTAACAATTAAATATAGTTTACAAAAAAATCAGGCATATTTATAACTATCATTAATTCCTACTTCAACAACTAAACTGGATGTTATGTAACTAACAACAAAAGCCGTAACTACAGAGAAGATAATGAACATCAACTGTGAATATGTTATTAAACATTCCAGCTGTGATCACTTCAAAACATAATATTACTAACAATAAAAAGTAAGAACAATGTTTGTAGGAAATTATCTTCTTTCCATGCCTTAGCCTCTTCAATCGGGACTACGTTGCAGCAAAAACTCGTGTAAGTTGAATGTCTTGTTACTCATTAGATGTTCAGCAGAAACTATGCAGACATACACTAAAATTGAATTGAGTTACATTTTAGAAGAGAAGTTTTTATTTTATTCTAAAGTGACCAATACTTCTGCTAGAAGTTGTATCCTCCAACAGGGACATTGTTGTCAGGGGTATCAAACTGAAACTGCTGAGTTTCTTCACTCACAGTGGGCACAAGATGAGAATCTTCTTCTTCTGTTCCAAAGTACCGTTCAATTATATCAAAAGCTGTCTGGTAGATTTCCATATTTTCGTGAGATTGAAGAAACTCAATCTTATCAAGTCCTGGTGATTTTAAAGGAAAAAATATTGTATGCAGAAAAAATTATTATAAACATTTTACCAATTATTACATCTGGCTATATTAGTATACTCTGCAATACAAAAGTAATTTTTTTGCTTTTGAAATAACAGCATCAAGTAACGTTCAGAATGAAAAAAACAAAGTATGCATAATAATAATAATTTTTTAAGTACCTTTTACTTTCTACTTGTTACATTTGTTCATTATTGATTTGCAAAGTTTCCTTTCTAATATCTCTTGTATAATTGTTTTGTGAATATATTTTTTATATAGCATTTTGGCAGCATCAAAACCAGAAAATCCACAATATGCATCTCAATTTTTTTATAGCACAAATCAACCAAGGTCTCATCAAGAAAAGTTTTCTCTACCAGTAACTGAGAAGCCTTTACCTCAGCTCAACAAGTCTGAATATAAAATATACTGAAATACTGTACTTTGTCATATTTATTATATTATCTGTTTATAAGTCTGTTAATACAAGAAAAGTTTTATTCAATTCAAATATACGTGGGTAACTTCTCAAAATACTCAAAAACTTTATAGTTTACTTGGCATCGGTTGTAAAACAAATAAATTGTAAGATCTTTTACAAAGTAAATCAAAGGTTGTCCTAGAGAAAAACAAACATACCATAACATCCCTCAATCATTACAGCATATGGATTGACTCCTCCATGATCCTTAGCATCCAGCTCTCCTAACTTTAGAATATTTTCTAATCCATTTAGCGCAACCTGCACAATTTTGGGATCCATCACTGTCAGTAATTCACACAATGGAGGGATACATCCTTCTTGGATGAGATATCTAGTGACACAAAAAGTAGATGAAAATAATTTCCAATTATGATATGAAATATGATGATGACAGAAATGTATGATATGCACACTTATAAAGACAAGAGATTCATGAAGTGTTTTCAAAACTTTCAAAGGACCCATGACCAAAAGTATAAAGATACCATGAACTGTTTCAATACTTAGACAGTGAAAAGTAAACTGAGGAATATTAGTTTAACAATATTAGTTACATAATTAGAAAAATATTGCCCAATTAATACATTTGGCAAAAAATGGATGAACCAAGTAATAAATACCGAGATAACCTTTTCACTTCAAGTGTACAGTATTTTAACCAGCAATATATGCTTGGTCATTAAACTGGACATTGAAATTAACACTTACACAGTATTATGTTGTATAGAACTTGACTAAATGACTGTTTCTGTACATCCCCCAAAGTGTATCAACATACATATAAAGCAACAGTACAAAATTATCTTGAAAAGAAAGTAACTTAAAATCCCTGACTTTATTTGTGTAAACTTAACACATTTTTATCTACTTTTTTTGTAAGAAACCTCAAAATAGTTACCCCAAAAAATATATGACCAGAAAAAGCATATTAAGTGTATACCTATACAAGTAACTAATTTTAAAAAACTTTATGACTTACATAGAAATTGTTTATCTCATTTGGTTATACTTCTCAATGATAAATATCTTGACTTCCAGTAACATGTTTTTAAAAACTATTCATTGCATGAATGACATTCAATGAGTATTTCAGTTCTGCCTAATGATGTGTTTTAAGGTACGAGTTGAATAAAACTCTCACAATTGTTTGCAATAAGTGAATGTTGAAGTTCCATCAGTTGTTATTTTAGATCTATCTGTAGCATACTACAGGTTGTTTTTTTACAGAAACAATTTGTCTTTAAGTGTAACACAGTAGTCTTGTCTATAATGTAAGATTATAAAAAAAAAATAGAAACATTTTCTACCAAAGAGAATATTCAAATAACATTTGGAAACAAGCCCTCATCAATGCACATCACATGAAAATAGTAATACTGCATAACCTATGTGAAGGTAACATGCTAATTGGTACAATCCAACAAATGACAGTCAATCAGAATTGTATTGAAGTCATATTTGTATAACAAAACAATAAATCCATAAAAGCTTACTCAGAGACACTTTATACAGACTATAACTGCCACTAAAGCTTAAACTTTTTATATTAAGTGTCTATATTAAGTCTACACTCTGTTAATTCTGGATTGTTTTTGTTAAACTAATTGGAAACTATAAATCCTTTTAATCTAAAGTTAATCAGTAGCAATATGGATCACTTCAACCTCAATTATCACTTCCAAAGTTACGAGTTGTCTAGTAATTTAAACTACGAAAACAATTTTCACATGTTAAATACATAATAATAAGTATTAGAACGTAATAATACTGTGAAGAGCAAAAAGATCTTGCCTGATTTGTTCTGGAGAACCACCAGACGTAGCATTTGTTATAGCCCAAGCAGCTTCTTTACGAGTTTTAAATTCAGCTTTTCCCAAGATATCAATTATAGCAGGAAATATATTAGTGTCAATCACTGCCTATGAAATATAACAACAGATCAAAATAAGGTTAGCTGATTGCAACTTAATACCATTGACTTAAATAACAAAGAGAGTGGAACAATGATTTTAACAAATATCTTTCATTGTGACAAATTAGACTTTAAAAGATTCTGGTTTTAGCTAAAGCACATACTAGTTAAATAAACAGTTACTCAAGATATACATATTCCACACAGCTCTTTACCCAAGCTACAGCAGTTAAAAATGTCTGCACTATAATTCAGAGAGTACAAGAAAGATGGGATTATGTTTCAGCAGACTTTTAGACAGATGGCATTTTGATAATGAGTTGACTGTACCAAGAGCATCACACATTAAAGCAGTGAGAATGCTGCATTTATATCTGCCATACCGAGATTTTTGCATGCTCCGATTTCATAGCACTTTTTGTCGCTTCACTGGTTCGGATTTTTTAAACTTTTAGTTCAACCATTCACCACTAGCAATGCTAGCTTATGTGCTAGTATTTCCAGAAGATACTTAACATCTGTATAAAATAATAATTATAATAAATTATATAAATGCATTATAGAGGGGAAACATCACATAATACAAAACAAACACTTTCATGAAATGAGCTCAAGTTCACTGTGTGTATCTTATCAATATGACCCAATAATAAAAACCATACCAACCAAGATGGATCTCCTCCACCCCTGCAAGACATTGGACAGAAGTTTGCAAAAAAGTCTCAAGAACCAACCTACTCCCCAACAATTTCATTTTCACCAGGCTATATTCCTCTTTTGAACTACATAAAGATTCATCTGACTTTTTGAAACTAAAAGACTTTGTTTTTTAATTCAGATGTATTACTATACATACATATTTCATATGCTTCTTGCCAACAATTTATATCTAACCTCAACTTTAAACCATACAAATATGTTCTAAATCAGTCATACAGATATAGATTTAGTTCCAAATCACTGCATTACCATTGGTTGAGTGTTTGACATTATAAAGAACTACTACACTAAACTAAGGAGCCTGCAGTTTTAAAGGATACCCTTTAAAGTCTAGTGAAAAGTGCAAAAAAATACTACTTCAGAAAAATACCACATAAAAAATACAAAAGGCATCCTTGACTACTGATATATGAACTTTGTGTTGTATCATAATGAATAAGTAACAAAATATCTACAGAACAAGTAAATACCTGTATCTGTTGTCTATTTCCTGCTGTGATATTTGATATCGTCCAACATGCCTCTTTCCGAATAGACTCTTTAGCTGATGAAAGTAAGTGAAGAAGACAGGGGAGCACATTACAGTTTAACATTAACTGAGTCTGGATGTCATCTCCTGTCACTATATTTCCTACAGCTCTCAGAGCAGCTGACACAACAATATTGTTAGAATACCTATAGAAAAAAAAACCCAAGAAAACTGGATGTCTTTAGTAAATTTTCCTCAATTATTTTAAAACAAAATCTACACTAGCTATATTAAATAGAGGGTTATAAGCATTTCACAATTCAAATATAGCTTCTTTTTTTATACTTAGATTACATCAGTGGAGCTGTTGGTATTCTAGAATTTCAACATCACAACAAAGGTAGCTCATAAAATATCTAGGTAGGTCAGACTAGGGTTAGTGTACCTATAGTTAATGTACTAAATGTAGGCTTATATATATAATTAATGTCCCACTGATAACTCAAAAAATGCTGTACATCACAGTAAAACTTAAAAGTATCTCACATTAGCAATTCTACAAGTCTTCTACAAACTCCAGCATCAATAACTGCTTGTATCTTTTCATTGGGACCATCAGAAAGGTATGACAAGGCCCAGCAGGCATCACCAAGTACACTTGAATCACTGTGAAACAGCAAGTGTGCCAGAACAGGTAGACAAGGTGTAACCTTGCAGAATATAAATATTTCTTAATTATGAGAATAACTCAACAAATGTATATACACACACACACACATATTTAGAGAGAGAGGAATAAGAGTTAAAACTACAGGAACAAATGTTTAACACACATGATATTAAATACTTTCTGGTTTTCTACTGACATGTCATGAGAACTTGTATATACATAAATGTTTACAGTACTTAAAATCCAAATGTTTTGTGTGTAACATAAGCAAAAAATAAAAATATAGCCTAAAAACCATTTCTAAAAATCTTAAAAAAAAGGTTATAATAATTCATGAACATCTCCAATTAAAAATCAAACAAACATAGCATTGTTTGACATATTTAAAATAGCAATATGATGTCAGGATTAGATTTCAGCAGCCAGTTCTCCATATATGTTTTTAATAGGATGGTTCAGATGCAAACCCAAATCTATAAAATACTGTAGGTACACATAAGCACATGAATGTCTTCAGAGATATATCTGTGGTTTTGACTCAATAAAATGAAACTAGTATTCACACAAAGAGTATGGTAGCTCAAATATACTTCTTTGAATCTCAAGCAGTAAAACATCAAACAATGCTCATCTCCCAACATTCACCTTCACAACCCACTAGAATCACAAATATACATTAAAAAAGTTCATCCTCCTCAATATGTACTAATTCAAAATCTGCCATATGTGGTTGGTTAAAATATAACAAAACCAAGAGAATGATCTGTGACTCAACAAGAAAAATGTCTATATATACTGTCTTTTTATCTTTAATGTTGATCAACACCACTATATTCTAGTTGCTAGAAAATTACTTTGATAATTAGGATTAAAATGTATCCCAAAATCTCATTCTAATACACGGTGATAATAGGTAGGCAGACAATAATTTATAAGCATGTCAAAACATATAGTACGTTCCACCATTAATAAAACTGTTCTTTATGCTTATAACTCGTTCTTTGCCTACTTAATATTATATTAGCATAATGTGCTTCCTTACTCAAGTAATACACTGTGCATAAAAACTTCATCCTTCCAAGGAAAATGAATACATGATCACTCTACTAAAAAATCAAGGTACAGCAGATGAAAAAAAAAATCATGCCAAGTATATAGTGATCATATTGTAAAAGAAAAACTATTTACAGTGGTTGTTCAAACACAATACAGTGAACTAAAATACAACAAAAAGCGAACATTATAATACACAACAATTTAAACATACTGAACATTTGGATGAATATAACAGTTCTTATTTGTCATATAAAATTTGTAACATTCTCGTCAGAGATGAAAACAAAAGCATTAAGAGTTAAAAATACCTTTCCAGTACCAAAGTTATTAGTAAGACTGGGTTTTAGTCTATGTTTGAACAATTACTTTCATGTGTAATTCCCATTAAGAGTTAACAATACCTTTCCAGTACCAAAGTTATTGTTAAGACTGGGTTTTAGTCTATGTTTGAACAATTACTTTCATGTGTAATTCCCATTAAGAGTTAACAATACCTTTCCAGTACCAAAGTTATTAGTAAGACTGTGTTTTAGTCTATGTTTGAACAATTAATTTCATGTGTAATTCCCATTAAGAGTTAACAATACCTTTCCAGTATCAAAGTTATTAGTAAGACTGGGTTTTAGTCTATGTTTGAACAATTACTTTCATGTGTAATTCCCATTAAGAAACCTTCTACTTTATAAGCATTATGAATAAGCAGAGAATGGATGTAAAAATGGAAAGGTATTAATTCTCTTGTACAGTTCTGTTTCTGTGTCTTTGTGCTGAGAACACTTAACATATGTGAGAAATTGTTACTTAATACTTTTATTAGTGGTTTACAAAAACTAATCTTACATGAACCAGTAATGTACGGCACAAACTGTTCCTACTGAATGCTTATCTTGGTTATTAATAAAAACTGCCACTTCTCAGAACTAGCACACAATTATGCGACATGTTAGTAAATACATAATATATCTTACGGCGTTACCGTTAAACCTAATAATTGCTAGAGAATAATTTTATCCAAGAAGTATCCGATTCTTTTGTATGGTTGACGTTAAACTACACTTTGGATATTTGTTAGTTTTCTGGGTGTAATTAGTTACTCTGGTATGTTTCAAAGATTTAGTTGCACATACCATATACAACATAATGCGCAACAATCAATTAAAAAAAAAGGTAAATACTCCAACTTAATAATGGAGAATTACTATCTTAATAGTACAATGGTTTACATCAGTTGTAAACACTTAATAACTATATAATTAAAAAATTCTTTAATACATTTCTCACTGTGCAGATTCTTAAACATCTTCCAGCTTTCTACGTTTAGACACCAGAACAATAAGTATTAAATAAACTGGCACTAAAAGAATATTTGATTTGTAGAACTGAACATTTGACAACAAAGAAAAAACAACACATACACACACAATACTTATACTTCTTATTGTACTAACTTCACTTTAGTGTTGTAACTGTATATTTAACATTTAAATGCCATTGATTTAAATGGTTTCATTTGTGGTAAAATTTGCAAAGATACTGTAAGTACACAAATGCTTCAATGTGGAAAGAAAAAAACGTTTTTCCATACATTTATAAACTTTTAAGTCGCAATATAAATACTTACTTCTTCAAACTTTGGAGGAGGGTTTTTACCACGACATAGGTTAGAAAGAGCCCAAACTGCATTTCTTGTCATGGATATTCTTTTTGATTTATTTATAAGTCTTTGAAAAAACATACAGTACATAGAATTAAAACATATGAAAGTATGATTTATTTACCAATTTTTATGATTCAAGAATATTTTTTTGTTAAACATTAAACACTCCATTTACATATGCTTATTATCCAGCAAGTAAAGATAATCTACATCAAGAAAATATCATAGTAAACATAGGAAGGTAATAATGACCTAAGTACATTATGTTGAATATAGAAAATATATTTTCACTA